TTCAGCCTTATGTGGCCTGGTTGGTGTACCAAGCAGCTCACACGTACTCTTGCCTGATCAAAAAAGGTAGTCATTTCAGGCCAATTATTCACTTTTGCTAGCAATCTTAGCTGACATTATCAATAGGACAAAACAACAGCCTACAGAATGGGAAAAGATCTTTACTATCCCTACTTTTTACAGAGTTCTGCTTGTCAAATATATAAACAACTCAAGCACATAGACACATAATAATCAAAATAAAAGCTAGTATACCGATTTAAAAAAAAACAAAGAATTCTCAACAGAAAATTCACAAATGGCCAAGAAACACTTAAGAAATTCTCACCATCCTGAGTCATAGAAAAATGCAAATCAAAACTAAATTGAGATTTCATTTGAAACCTGTCATAGTGGCTAGGATAAATAATGCAATTACCAGCCCAGCATTCTGAGCAATGGGAATACTCCTCCATTTCTGGTGGGAGTGGAAATTTGTGTAGCCACCATGGAAATCAATATGGTGTTCCTCACGATATTTGGAATCATTCTACATCAAGACCCACCTATCACACTCTTGGGCATAAAGGATGCTCAACTATATCACAAGGACACTTGCCTAACTATGTTTGTAGCAGCTTTAATTGTAATAACCAGAACCTGGAGACAACCTAGATGTCCCTCAGCTAAAGAATGGATAAGGAAGGTTTGGTATATTTACACAATGTATTATTACTCAGTTGCTAAAATAATTGACATCATAAAATTCAAAGAAAATGCATAGAACTAGAAAAAATCAAACTGAGTAAGCTAACCCAGACCCAGAAAAACAAATATGATATGTACTCACTTATAAGTGGATATAACTGTAAAGTAAAGGATGACCATGCTACCATCCACAGATGCAGAGAGGCTAGATAACAAGGAAGGCTCAAGGGATACAGCTAGATCTCCCGGGAAAGAAAAAAATAGAAGAAATTTCATGAGTGTAATGGTGGCATGTGGGGATGGGAAAATGTGGAAAGAGGTAGGCTGAGGTGGAGGGAGAGTGTTTTAAAGAACAAGTGGAAAGTGGGGTCATTTCGAATTCAGGTTGAAACCCGCTGCAAGGGAAACTCCCTGGAATCCATAAGGATAAACCCAGCTAAATTTTTGTTTGTAGTGAGAAGCTGGAAACTTAAAAAATCCATTCAAGTAATCTTAAATAAATAATTTCTTAATGTTTCCTGTCTTTTTAATATTCTTTATATAGAAGCCAATCAGAAGATTTAGCAATTCATATGTTATATTCATTTCATTTAATTACTGTGGATATAGGCCTTTTAATCTCATGTGGTTTCATCCAAGATTTTTGCAATATGCTGCAGTCAAAAACTTTTTTTTTCACATCCTAGAATTAAGTAGGGAAATCACATTGAAACACTTGATATTTATATAGACAGAACCATAAGCATCATATAAAATGACTTAAGCACAAGGAAAAAAGAAACAGCAAAACCAGTCACAAATGTTAGTCAAGGAAATATTCAAAGTAGAATCAAATATTGACTTTCAAAATCCAGAGGAATGAGTTGCTTTTAAATAAGATTAATTTGAAAGTAAATACTTGAAATTCATAGGTACTTGTTTAGAAAACCAGCATGTGACCTTGATAAAAAATTAACATTGTTTCAAAAAAATTTAAAATTGATATATGAAATAAAATTGATTAATATAATCCTTCTTACAATTAGAGAAAATATAATTTATGTTGATGATAAGAGACACCAAACAAAGATAACAAGAAGCAAAATGTCAAAGCAACAAGAAAAACAACAAATTCTGCAATAATGTCAAAAATAAGATTGGAAGTGATTACTAAATATGCCATTGAGACTTGTAATTATCTTTCTCTAAAAATATCTATAGAAAGGGAATATAGAAATGAAATAAAGGGTGATGATGGTCTTACCAATTAGAAGTTGGAAAGACAATTGTAATTAGAATGCACAGAGAAAGCAAGAGACTGAAATATTTATTCGTTTTCTTGCTTATTGTTATTTTTATTGATTTTTTATCATGAAATATTCTACTCATGATTTCTCATACCCCAACTCTTCCCATAGCCTACTCACATACCCTCCATTACACTAACTGCTCTATTCTTTTGCTCTATTCTTTTTCTCTCTACATAGAAAAACAAACAGGCAAAAAACAAGAAAAGAAAAGAAATCAAATTAAAATAGATAAAAAAGGAAAATAAAAAGAAATACATAAACACACAGAAAAACACAAAATCAAAACCAACAGTTTAAAAGCAGACCAATAAGACAAAAGATATCCAAACAAAGCAATATGAGACAAAAAGTCTACACAAATAACTGTATATGTAGAAAACTACATGCAGAGTTGAAAATTAGTTTTTGAAATGTATGAAATTAAAATTATATTTAATGATAGAATTATGTATAAAAAGTTGAAAGAAGATTTTTAACGATTTTAGCAACACAGATTCCATAAAAATTTCTAATATGCAATTTCACTATAGGTGTGTCTATCAACACATAATGGTTTCTCCTTAATTATATATAATGAAATAAATTTGATAAAGGACAAACTGTGCAACCTAAAATGAAATTATTTGTCAGATCCATATGTGTGGTAGTGGTTGATCATAAAGTATCAAAAGAAAATGAGAAAGAAAAAATTCTTTCTTGACATTTCCAGGTGTGGAGATAATTGTCTAAATGGATATGTGAACTGTGTAACTACAGATATGTTTTTTCTCTTTTTGAAATAATTATTACATTTATTAATGTGGGATCATGTGTCATAAATGTAGGCATGTCCGTATATGTACTCACACCAATGCAGCAGCACGTGTGTGGAGATCAGAACACAATTGAGTGAGCGGCTTCTACCCCTCTACATTGTGGATCCCTAAGATTAACTCAGGTCATCTGGCTTGGCAGCAAGTGAAATTAACTGCTGTGGCATCTACCTAAAGTTGTCATAACACAAACAAAATATTATCTCATTTTTATAAACATTTCTAAAATTAAAGGAACAATTTTTCTTTATTATGAGCTTTCATATTCAATTCAAGAAAACTTGGAGGTCAGGAATCCCCAAGGACTATGAAAGCAAAATGCTTTCCAACTGCATAGTCCAATTTAATGTGGAGAATGGGAAACTTTCCAAGGCAGATATGACTTTTGTCATTGTATATAAGCCACACTGAGGTGAAACACATCAGCATCACTGGTCATAGCAGAAGCAATGATGTACGAGTTTCAGATTCAAGGGAAAATCAAAGGAAACATCATCCAAAAGGGAAGATCTGTTTTATAAGGTGATTCTTGTAGTATGGATGCATCACAACCTGATTGTCATACTTTCATTTTTTCATTGCAACTACTAATTTAAAGTTTGTTTGTTTGCTTTAGTAGCACATTTTTAAATACTTCGTAAGTTTACAGTGTTTATTCATATTTTTTAATTGTTGTGCTTGACAAAATGTCCTTGAGACATTTGGAAACATAAAGCAGTTTTATATGATCACATCTCTTTAGGATAATCTTCAAAATACCAAGTCTCTCAACAGAGAAAATCATTGTACTCACAGGCCACTAATCTTACTCTATTGTTATATGATTATTATTTGATTTTGGATCCTTTATTTTCTCAAGATACAGAGAATACATTAGGGAAGCAGTTGTTAGAATTTAAAGGGATATGACAGTTATACCAATTAGAATAACTATAATTCACTAAGAATTCATCAATTAAAATAGATATGTAAAAATATTGTTGATATTCAAATAGTAAAACATGTTCAATTTTAAACACAATAAAATTAACTTTATATAAACCTGGCCATTTTTACTACTTAAATTGATCATTTTTACTTATTTGTTCTTGTATTAAAATAGCAAAGTACCTTGCTAGAAATGTCATTGATTTTATTGGACTTCTTAAAATTAAAATTCCTATAATTTATTTCATAATCAGGAAGTAATATTGGGGAATTGGAATCAGAGACACCTCATTATATACTACAGTTTTACTAATTTGTGAAACTGATTGAAACAGAAAATCAATAATCATTATTATTACTATTATATGTCAAGTACTTAACAAGGAAATCACAAAATATCCACTAGATAGTTGATATTTTAATTTTCAATTTTCAAATCTAACATTAGTAGGAAAGGTGGAGATATTAAGATATTTATGTCAAAATATATAAATAATGAATGAGAGTTAAGGAAGGAAGAAAGGAAAAAGAAGTAAAGAAACAAAATTAGAAAGGCAGAAAAAGCAGCTTTCATGAATGAATTATTCAAACTATTATATATAATCTCACCATTTCGAGTTGAAAGGCTGTAAGTATATGACAAAAAGTAACATCCATCAGAACTAGCAATATATTATTGTTTAGAGATAAAATCCAATGATTATAACCAAAGTTCAAGGAAATACAATGCTAAAAACTTGTCCTCGGCTTGTGATTTCTTAGTTTATTTGATGATCCATTTTTATTCAGTTTACATTTTTAAAAAATTTACTCAATTGTATCTCTTTAACATAACCATATATTTATTGGGGCCTATGAATTTTGTGTTTATGTTTGAAATATAAAAAAGGCTTATCATTCTTGTATTATGGCATTCAAGTAAAGACACTGTGAATATATCTCAGGTATTCCATTAAGAAAATTGTCTCTGAATTCCATGCCAAAAACACAGATTTATGGTGGGAAAATGTAAAGAGAATGATTGTTACTGATATTTTCCATAAAATACTCATTTACATACCAATACAGACTATTTTTCAGATGGGTAGTAGGTTTCATATATTCAGTGAAAATATTTAATTAGAAAGGATGTACAAACTCATGGAAGTTACTTTAACTGACTGGGTAGAAAGCTTAAATATGATGTGTATTCTTCTTACCTGATTATGACCATTAAGTTATTGTTTCTGTTTCAGGAATTCTTAATTAGGTTTTGTCTCTCTGAGCATTTGGAAGCCCAGTGAAGAAAATGGAAGAAACAAACCAGTCTGTGGTGTCTGAATTCATTTTTCAGGGACTTTGTACCTCAAGGGAACTGCAGATTTTTCTCCTGTTGCCGTTTTCCACCCTCTACCTGATGATTGTGGTAGGCAACCTCTTTGTGGTGATATTAATCATCATTGATCACCATTTCCATTCTCCTATGTATTATTTGTTAGCCAATCTCTCATTTATTGACTTCTGCCTTTCCTCAGTTACTACCCCCAAAATGATCACAGACCTTATACAAGAAAATAAAACCATTTCCTTTGGAGGCTGCATGAGCCAGATCCTCTGTGTGCATTTCTTTGCAGGGGGTGAGATGGTTCTTCTTGTGACAATGGCCTATGACCGCTATGTGGCCATCTGCAGGCCACTCCACTATACCAGCATCATGGACAGACAGAAGTGCATCTGGCTGGTTGTGATATCGTGGATCATTGGATTTGTGCATGGCATTAATCAGCTGATCCTGGTTTTAGAACTACCTTTTTGTGGACCTAGAGTTATAGACAGCTTTTTCTGTGATATTTCGTTGGCGATGCAATTAGCCTGCATGAATACTGATACTCTGGGAATCATAATAAATGCTGAGAGTGGTGTTTTAGCAGTAACTTGTTTAATTCTTTTGCTGATATCTTACACTTACATTCTACTAACTATTCAGCTTCACTCTAAAGATGGTTCATCAAAGGCACTCTCTACCTGCACCTCTCATATCATAGTGGTTGTGCTATTCTACGGTCCTGTCATTTTCATCTATCTGTGGCCAGTTAGCATCACTCGGGTGGATAAGATTCTCTCTGTGTTTAATACAGTCATCACACCTCTCCTGAATCCAGTCATCTATACACTGAGAAATAGAGATATTAAGAATGCCGTAAAGAAGCTGATAAATCACATGTAAGTTCTGCGATAATTTTTAGGTATCTTGTGTTTTCAACAAATTCATTGCATGCACATTATTTTATATGAATTTTAGTCAAAACTGAATTGCATAGCATCTTATTTCTAAAATCTATATGATGTATTTTGTATACAGTTGTGAAAATAACCACTAGAAAATTATATTCAAAATTGTAATACTTACAGGTTTTTCACATAGAATGAGTAATAGCTTTGTGCAATATATATATATATGTATATATATATATACATATATATATATATATATATATAGTTGTGCATGTCACTTTGATTAGATTGTTAGTAACACAATACACCTTGAATGATATATCAATCTTACCATCTTTTAAAATATGGTATTATATGTCAATCCTAATTCTATATATCAGAAGTTATTGAAGATATCTGTGCAGACTGCAGCCACTTAGAGCTCAAAATGCTAAACAAAGCACATCATGAATTTATTTGCCTTATATTGATATAATCTCTGTCAGTTTTCAAGTCTTAACTATTCATATGGATTCTGAACTTTCCTATATTGTTTACCATAATTGAAAGAACAATCTTTTTATAATATTTCAATGTACTTTCTTCAGTTCACAAATTTTTTGCATGATATTGATTTTGTTCTATATAATATAATGACATAATTAACAAAGTCAGTTGAGTAAACATTATATGTTCTTTTACATTTTGTTTTCTTTTGTTTTTCAAGACAGGCTTTCTCTGTAGCTTTGGAGCCTGTGCTAGAACTAGTTCTTGTACAACAAGTTAGCCTCAAACTCACAGAGATCTGCCTGCCTGTGCCTCCCCAATCCCAGGATTAAAGGCATGCACCACCATCTTGTGGTTACATTATATGTTTTTGATAATATGGTATTCATAATAATTCATATTATATACAATTTGGGGTAATGTGTTATTTACTGAATGAACTATATTTATACATGTTTACAATAGTTGAATTCTAGCTCATGTATAAACATATATGAAAGTCTGAACTTCTGAAATTTCATGACAATATTTCATGAGCTAATGGTTAAAATCAACCTGTATGTATAGCCTAATAAGCTAAAGAGGTTGTCATAATATGAATTATCTAACAAAAACACACAAACACCTGTACCATTTTCTGCTGAAATCATATGACTACAAATAAGCATTGCTCATGTCTGGTCACAGACTTTGATGTATACATATGTGTAGATCCTAGTATCTTTTTCAGAAGAAATTATCTCTAGTGAGATTATAAACTTAATCCTCAACAGTTTGTCACTATATTTTTGTTAAATATGTTCTTTGACAATATCTGTAATAAGATGATTACATCTGATATAATCCTTTACCTCTTATGTCCCTCCCAACCTTATTACGCTCTTCCCAGCCACACAAACCACAGGACTACCTTTCTATATTTACCTATTTTGTTTTGTTTTGTGGTTCACTGCAATAATCCATTGAGATTAGTGCATCCATTGTTTGCAACTCTCCCTGTGACACTATGAGTGCAGTAGAGGGTAGAACTGAAGAAAACAGCTAGCACTTTCCAGAAACATCAGTAGCTCACAGTTCAACAAGGAGACATAGCAGTACATGGGTATGCTCTGATCTTTGATTACTATTTACTATATTCTTGTATGATGTCCATGTTAGGTAGCTTTGGAATTATAAATACATTGGCAGTGCCAAACCTACAAGATTGCATTTCATAGTTCTTGCATTCTTACTAAACTCTTTCTCATTATTTCTCATCGTTATTTTATAAGCAAATTTTAACATACAGACAGCTTGCCTTCACTTGCTCATGGTAATACTTCAACAACAGAACACCTTAAGGACTCTTTTCTAAACTAAATAATTGAACTGTAAAATGACCTCTTATTACCTGCATAGTTAATAAGGATATAAATTTTATTTAAATTTTAACAATTATCTTAGTGACATTACTTGTATTTAATGTGTTTCAAGAAGAAGAATGGAGACCAGTAAGATAGTTCACTTGATCATGGTGTATGTTTTTTTTATATGTTCTTGGATCTGGTTTGCCAGTATTTTATTAAGTAATTTTGCATCATGTTCATGAGGAAAACTGGTCTGTAATTATCTTTCTTATTTGTGCCTTTGTGTGGTTTGGGTATCAGGGTAGCTGTAGCTTCATAAAAAGATATTGGCAAAGTTCCTTTTGTTTCTGTTGTTTGGAACCATCTGAGAAATATTTGTATTAGCTCTTTTTTGAAGTTCTGGTAGAATTCTATACTGAAACCATCTGGTCCTGGACTGTTTTGGTTGGGAGACTTTTGATGACTGCTTCTATTTCCATAGGGGCTATAGGTCTATTAATTTGTTTATCTGCTCTTGATTTAAATTGGTTATGTGGCACTTATCCAGAAAACTTTACATTTTTTTTCCAATTTCCTGTTGTGTACGTTTTTAGAGTAGGACCTGATGATTTTCTGGATATTATCAGTTTCTGTTGTTATACCCCCCTTTTCATTTCTGATTTTCTATATTTGGATATTGTCTCTGTGTCTTCTTCCTTCACCTTAGTAGCATGGGTGCTGGGGTGTCACACAGTATACCCGCTTGTTCAAACAGTCCCACCAACAAAATATTCATTGCAATGAGTTATCAGTCTGGCTCAAGGCTATTGAGAAAACATAATCCTTGAGCCCTCATTAAAACTCCTCTCGTATATCCTGTTGTTGTCCCACATCATTGGTGTCCTACATTTATCATTCTACAGGACCAATCCCTTCATGCACTCTTGCAGGTTGTAAATGGAGATGTTGGGGTGGGCTAAACCAGGGCCCAGAATGTGGGTCTGGGCAATAACTAAGTTGGTTTGTCTGGGTCACTGGAACTGCACCTGCTCAGGCAAGGAGCAGAGACAGCTCCTTTAGGATCATTCCCTGGTAAGAAGTGGGGCCATCTCTACAGAGTGTGGAAGACAGCTCTTTTATGTGGGTCAAGGCCAGCTCTGCTATGCAGTGACCAGTAGGTCACAGGGCCAGCTATCCTAGTTCCAGCAAAAGGTGCCATCAGTTCATCATGGTTTTCAGATATCAATGCACATGGTTCCTATGTCCCTCTTTGGCAACACAAGCCATGGACATCATCACAGACCCCAGGTGCAACAGGACCATGGACCCAGAAATTGTCATGGCAGCAGCTCATGCCTGGATGTCACTATGGGCCTGGTGACAGCAAAGGACACCCAGATCAGTATGGTCCTGGCAGCAGCAAGGCTTTCAGACACAGACATGGTCTCTGGTAGCTCTCCGTACCCTTCACAACCACATAGCCTTTGGCTATAACAAGAACCACAGATATCAACTCAGACCCTAGCGCATGTTGAACGACAGACTCAGACATTGCCCTGTGTAGCAGCCTGGGCCTGGACAATACCACAGTCCTGTGTGGCAGCATAGAACACCCAAATCAGCATGGACCCAGTGGTGTCACTAGACCCCTGGCACCTGTGTGTCCTTTGATGTTTCCATGAGCCACAGATTTCAACACAGTCCTCAACTGTGATAGGACCATATTCCCAGAAAAGGTTCCTGATAGCGACTAGCCCTAAATGTCCCCGTGACCCAGGTGACAGCACAGGACACTCAGAGCATCATGGTATCCTGGTCAGTGTCACCTTTACACATGAATATCGTCCCAGGTAGCAATCCAGGCACCTGGCATCTGCAGGGGTCCTTTATGGTATCAGTAGTAAAGGAGACCAGCACAAACCCTGAGTGTGGCAGGGGCATAGAACCAAACATTTGTATAAATAAATCTTGCCTGAGGATCAGAAAAGTAAAACAGCCACATAGGTCAGTCTTATAGACCAATCAGCAATAACACACACCTTTAATTCCAGTACCCACACTAACTTTCCATAGAAACCAGGTGCTAGTGGTATATGCCCTTAATCCCAGAACTAGAGAAGATTATAAAACGAGAGAAGACAGCTCTCAGTCACAGTCTCATTTTGAGATTTCCTGGAGTCAGGATCACCATTTTCAGAGTGAGTTTGAGGTAGGAGTCAGTGGCTAGATGCTTTGTTTTTCTTGTCTTTAGATTGAATGTCAATATCTGTCTCTGAGTTTATATTAATCATGGTTCAGCCCTCAGCAGCATTTTTGGTCTGGACCGCACCATGGAATCTTATGGCAGGGCATGCTACTCAGATCTTCATGGCCCCAGTTACAGCATGATCCTCAGATCACCACATGGCCTCAGATGATAGCCCAGACCCTGGGAATTTGCACAGCCTTCCAGAGTATCAAGATCATAGGCTCAGATATGATGACACAGAACATCATCATAGACCCAAATGGCAACACAGACAATCCAGATTGGCATGGCCATGTGGGGCAGTGTGGAAATCAGACACCAACATACCCATGTGTCTGCCCAGACCCCAGTAATCAGCACGGCCTTCAGTGGTTACTGAAGACAGATATCAAGAAAGACTCTGGCTGCTCAAAGGCCATGAAACCACACAGGGCCTGTGGCTGTAGCTTGGACCAGATGCCATCATGTCCCCTAGTGGAAGCACAGAACACTCAAATCAACATGGCCCTAGTGATGAAATGCCCTCAAACAACAAATTGATCACAGGTGGCAGCCCAAACTCTGGGCACCCCCATGGTTTTCGTGGCAATGTAGGTCATGGACATCATCAATACAGACTTTATCTGCAGTAGGATCACAAATCCAGACATGGCCTCAGGCAGCAAGCCAAGACCAGATGCTGCCGTGATTCTGAAGCCAAGCAGACCACCAAGTGTCAAAAGCCATGAAGTATACAGCAGATGACAACTAGCATTCAGGCGCAAACACACCAGCCGAATGATGCTCTGATGGAGGAGAATCCCACCCAGTCAGGGCCTTGAGAACCACCAATTCTAAAAACTATTGCTTCTGCCTGGAATTTTACATTTGCTAAAGCAACAAATGTGTCTCCCCAAAACCAGTACTGTAGTGTATATATGTATGTGCAATGTT